AAGTTGGGGAAGAAGGGTTGGATTTTTGGCTGCATTCAACCCTTGTTGGGCCACATGTGGCTCAGAGATTACATTTTTGTGTTGGTTTGCAAAGGTTAAAACAAGATATGTTGTTACTTCTGGCAACCCTTTATGGACTTTCTGCTGACACCAGCACTGAAAAGATGATGTTTTATGGATTTGTGTATAGATAAGAGATGGGATACAGGATGAAGAGATAAATGATTGTAACATTAGTGTGTGTGTTTTGGGGGGGGGAAAAGAGTCACTAAATTCGTTTATACTTGTGATGAAGTTGGAAGTCACTTCTTTATATGTGTCTTTTCTCTTTCTTTATTATATTCTTACTTTTTTCTTTTTTTCCTTGCACTTTTTACTTCTTTCTATTCTCTTTTCTTTCTTTAAGCTTAGTTTGTATTACTATTATAATCAAAATTCATCTATCTATCTATCTATCTATCTATCTATCTATCTATCTATCTAGGAATTTAATGGTGAGCTAAATGTGGGTCATGCAGGACAACAGTCCTAAAAACATAAATCTTCAACAATGCATTTAGAACAGTCAGGTCAGAGCCCTGACATCACCTAATTAAAATACTGTGGCATGACTTGAAGTGGGCAATTCATCCTAGAGAGTCCAAAAATACAGGACTGAGTTGAAGCAGTTCTGGAAAGAGGAATGTTTTATGTATTGTTAGTTTAACCAGAATCTCTTCATCTATTAATATACTTAGAAGACTTTCATTTTGCTTTATAGGTCACAGTACTGCAGGATTGCAAGTAATTTTAGGGGGTTCACAAACTTAATTTTAAGTTAATTTTAACTCTCTTTTTTCCCTCACAGGTGTCTCACAGCACTGTCAGATAACAAAGACTACTGCTGTTATAGCTTTCAAATTCCACATTATTAAAGCAAAAAATCCATGAAGTGTTGCTGTTATGGACTTAATGGGTCCTTTTGATGCCACCAGCAAAAATCATGTATGCCATCCTACTGATACATGTCTTTAGTGAGAAGGCTGTGGTTTTGCCGTTACATGATCTTTCAGCAGCTGAAATGGCAGCTGAAATGACTAAGGCAATTATGAAGACATTACTCTGTTATGGACCACTTCAGAAAATAGCTGTAGATCAGGGAGAAGAACTTATTCATCAGATAAGGTGAGGAATAGTATCTTTGATAATTGTTCATTGAGGATTAAAGCCATAGGTGCTAGGATGAATATATCATTCAGTAGGTTTTTGTTTTGTTTTGAACTACACAACTTCAATAAATAGCTTCATATCTCAAATGATTAATGATTAAAAAAAATATGCATGGAACCAACTTGCCTGCCTTCATTATTCTTCAGATGGGTGCTTCCACTCTGAACAGGTTGGCCCCTGCATTAAAGACTACATCGCTAATAATGGCTGTGCAATACTCAGAGATGCTGCAGGCTCAAGACTGAAATGACCCATCAAAATATCTCATATTAAACCCTATATAAGAGGAACACATAATCAAAGTAAGAGTTGTTTCTAATTCTTGGGGCGGGGGGGGGGGGGTTAATTGTTTGAGCAGTGGAGGGTTTTATTATAAGACAGTATAAGTCAAAAGCCATTTCTGCACACCTTCAAAAAACCCATAGTTCGGTGTCTTTTGATCTTGTGCTTCTACTCTGCCCTCAGTTGGCAATGCTTTTGTTCAAAGTTATTGTTTCTAAAAAAACAGGATTTTTCCTCCCTGAAATTAGGGTTCTATGTCAGTCCAGAGAGAGAGAGAGAGAGATGAACAGATATTGTCCACAAGCAGCAATTGCTGAGAGCTCTGGATTTTTTATTACTACTACTACTACTATTATTATTACTACTACTACTACTACTACTACTTTACATACTTGCTGATGGCAGGACACCAGCACTAGATAAGATATAAAGGATACTTCCTGTCTTTTTTTCTTCCCTAAATTTAAATCATTTTATCTAATCTAGCCAGTAAAAATAATGGATTTTTGAATGCCTCTGAAGTTGGCATCTCTTAAACTATTTTATCCTTTTATTGAGGGCATGAATATCTTAATGATGCCAATAAGTACTTCAGAGAGGAGGTTTTTGTTTTGTTTTTTTGCCCTACTTCAGAGAAGATTATAGAAATATTTAATTTTGAACACCAGCTTGGTTGTGATAGATTCAGCAATTTCATTTTTCTTTTGTGTTGTTTCATTCTCTTTAAATTACTAATTTAGTAATTTAGACAGGAGCCAATAGTAACATAGTTTAAAGATCTGAATTGCAACACAGAGTGTGTATATTTTTACAGGGTTTAACTGTAAAATATACTAGTGAATTATTTATTTATCATTTTGCAAAGAACCTCCTCAGTGATCAGTTTAATCTCTAGGAATCTTAAATGTATAAATATTTTTCTCTTAATTTATTTCTATTAAGGAATCATGAACATATAATTGTATCATTAAAGGAGGAGAATGTGTGAAAATGTGTGAATGTGTGGAAAAAATGACTTTGGCTTTCTATAACATGCAGCTTGCAGACTAACCGCAGTCATTTCTTCCACTGTTTGTAGCACTTTCCAGAAAAATTTCTACTATCAGTCTTTCTAACCTCTGTTTCCAGTTTTTTATGGAAATATCTAAGATTGCTTGTGCCCACCATAAAATGCAAGAAAGAGAATTGCCTATCTGGCCATACTGCTTTTGCTGTTTTTTGATATGAAATGTAATATGTTTTGGGCTTTAGTTTTTTGTATTTTGCAGACATTTATCATCCTTACTGCCAAGCTGAAAGATGGTCAGTGCAATTTCTATCAATACTTATGATTGGATAAACGTACCTTTAATGAAGGTCCTCTGTCTTTTGCAGATAGCAGCTATGTTTGGCAAAGTGCTATTGTGGTTGACCAGGACTATATTGGTTCATCTGAAACATCCACAGAGCAGAGTAGAGCAGAGCAGAACAGAAGTATTCTGTGCAAAAGGACCTCCTAGTCCTGCCCAGGGTGAATCCCTCCTGAGGAAGGACCTTTTTTCAGAGTGTAAAAGTACCACACACCTGGAATTTACAGACCCAAACTGTACCGAATCAGTTACTTTGAATCCCAAGCAACGGTCTGAAGATTGTAGGTCTTTTTAGAATTAGGCAACCTGAATAAAATATGGTATAGGCATCATTACCATAAAATATGGTATAGGCTTCATGCAAGTGACTCAGTCTTTGTTTAATTTCCTATTCACTGGGCTGTTTTAGGCTCAGCTGCTACAAACACACATACCCATATTTCAAACTATTCTTCTGAAACTTGCTCAGAAATGGTAACTCTGCAAATTCTGTCCAGGACCACCAAGGGATAAAAATATTGGTAAGTTCCTTTGAAAAATATAGATCAGTATTTAAAGATTCCTAGCAGAACATATAACCCCCCCTCCCCCAAACACACCAGTGTGTCTGAATTTGGTGATTTGGTGTACTTCCCTCCAGTTTAAAAAATAGCTGAATCAGATCAGTAAAAGGATAAGGGCAAAGAAGAGGGAAGTTCAGATCAAGCCAAAGCATATTAAAACTATTTTCCTAATTGATGCATTCAGGTCCAAGCCAAAGATTCACAAACTTAGGACAAAACATTCTGAGAACTCCTCCCGGCTTGTTTTCTGAGCTAAGCAAGCATTCCAAAATAGTTCAGGAAAATTATCTGGAACATTTCAATCCATTACATAAATAACAATTGAAATATAAAACTAATCCTTGCTTTCAGTCCTTTCCAAGCCTGATAAAGAATGCAAGAGGAGTTTTAGTTGTCTTAATTTGAAAGGAAAAGAGCCAGTGCAGTAAGCAATTGCTTGCAAATTCATTCCATGTTCCAAATCCATTTCTTTAAGCAAGAGTCCATTTCATAATTAAAAAAAAAATACTTTCCATGGAAAAACAACACCAAAATGTGATTCTGTCATTCAGACCTATATTTCAAGAAGCACCATGTTTTTCACTTGAAAATGTGTGGACTTCAACTCCCAGAATTCCCCAGCCAGCTTCAAGTTGCCAAGTTGCCAAGGTTGAGAAACACTGCCTTAGAGCCTCTATGTAAATGTCTTAAGGAAAATGGAAGACATACAGCCATGTATTATCTAATAGTTGCACTGGTTCTACATCTTAACTGTATAATTTCAGACTATAGGTGAAGGGTCTATACAAAAATAAATCCTCCATAGAAAATAGGAGGGGAGTTGTAGTTAAAAGTTCACACTGAGTTTTAGCTTTTCTGTTTCTAGGGAGTATTTGTATTAATGAATATTCAGTTATCTGCAGACTCACATGGGCGTACTCTCTCACTTAGAAATAATTTTCTATGGCTCAGGTCTTGTTCTGACATTGCTTCTCTGCTTTGATGCCACTGTCCTGCTGTGTGATTTCTGATCATCAATGTCTGAGACTGGAGACAGATAATTCCTCATGTTTTAGAAGGAAGCCAGTTTCTACAGTAGTTCAAAAGTTACCAAGAGCTTTTTTTCTATATTGGAAATACAGAAGGGATATTGTGTGTGTATGTGTGTAAAATTTGTCACCGCCTATCTCATTAAACGACTCTGGGCAGATGCATACATACATACATACATACATACATACATACATACATACATACAAATAAAAAATTCCAGAACTCTGATCAAGTGGCAAGGCTCTTCACTCTACATTTGAGTGAACTTTCTTTTCTTTTCACCCTTAGTCACAGAACCCCATCAAGTTCTCACAGAATGCTCGGGGTTCACAGCTTGAAAAATCTCAGCCCAAATACGTTCATCGCCCATACTAGTCAGCAAATGCCTTTGAGTCAATTGTGCAGTTCTGGGAGCAGCATCTTTCCCATTATAATTACGAGTAGCAGTAGCAAAATTTAAATTTCCAAGAAGCACATTTTTGAACTACCTGCATTTCTTAAGTCACTAGAATAAATAATAACTCAGTCGGCTAGAATAAACTCTCTATGGCACACAACTGTTTTTACCTAATGCAATGTTCATCTTAGCACAAATTTATAATACATAGTAATCTGTTTGGATTAAAATTCTAAGAGCTGAGTCTTTCAGTATGAAGGACTAACTTTTTCATGTAGATTAATATCACCAATTATATTATCAGTTGGGATGAAGATCGCCTGGCGTAAAACTCCCTTCATTTTCTGTCTTTAGCCATGTTGGCTGGGGCTGCTGGGAGTTGTACATATACAAGTAGGCCTAATAAATTGTGTCTTACCAGAGTTTATGGCTGAACAGTTTGGGGGAAAAAGACACAATGGCCTGCACTAATTTGGGTCTCTTGCATATAAGCAAGCATATAAAGCTTATACTATTTATATAAATTGTTGAACAGTTAAATGCATAACCGATTAGCAATCAAGTTCCTGATGCATCATTGTAATATAAATTACAAAAAACAAGATATTTTTTATTTGACTTTGGTAGAATTAGTATGACCGATAACACTTCATTCAGTCTTCAGGGCAAAATATGTTATTCTTTGCCTTCTTAACCACTAGGTGTCAATAATTCACTGATTCTCAGGGCTTCTTGGCCTTTTGGCTGAAATCAAGTGTGTGCAGCGTGTAGTATCACTACAGTCTTAACCATTACTATAGCATAAAGATAATCCTAAGATTGGTAAAAAGCTGCCATTGATTATGAGATACAGACCATACCTATTCCGTGCATAATTCAGATCTCTGATTGGGGTGCCTAAGGATAGCACAACCAACTCCCACCCACCAGATTATCTTACTGTGAGGTTCACAGCAGCTAAGTGACCTAGATGAGTTTTTCCAACATCCTAGTTGCATGTTCTGCCACAATTTGGGCTGTTATGTTTGTATTTTGAGCAGTACTTCCATTCAATTAAAAAAAATTCTCCCTAGACTTACCTGTTTAGAGAATGGCTGTCATGTAGGACATGACTAGTGACAAACAACAGATTTGGAAGAAGGACCTGCCTCTAGTCCCCATTCTTGAAGGATTCTCCCTCTTACCCAGTTTAAGTTTTCTGGGTAAGTTTATATGCTTAAAATATAAGCATATTTTCAAACAAAGCGCTATGCCACCCTTCCTGTTTATTTTTATGTTATTGTTTTATTAATTTTTGCTTTTTGGATCTATGGGAGCAGGAAGGCTATGACAGGCATTTGTGAAGGTAAAGCATGTGCTTTGCAGTGTGGCAGCAGTTACAATTTTTTAATTTATTTTTAATGTAACAAACCAAGAGGAGCAGAGGTCATGGCAAGTACCACGGAGGCAGTTCTAGGCACATGGGGTGCCAAATTCTAGCTTAGATTAAACTGCAAGTGTAAGGCCTGAAAAAAGTAATTTCATTAAGTACATACCTTAAATACGCTGAATGTTGCTGTTTTATTTCTTACCCAACCTTTTAAACCTTGCTTTAAAAGGTTATACTGGAATAAGGAACCTGTGACCCGGGAAAACTTTTCCTCAGCTTTAGAGCTTATTCTGCAGGGCTGAATTTCAGTTGCTCACCATTTTGAGAAGGGAAATAAAAAAAATATAGATGCAAACCTAAAATAACTTTAGCACCATTTTTCAAAAAGAAATCAACCAAAATTCTTAACTTTCCTTATATATGTTCTCACCCACTTCGTTTCATTGCCTTGTCTGCTGTTTATCATCTTTGGCTACAAAAATTGCCCATCTCTAATTTACTTGCTTATGGATCAGACTTTGAAGGGTAAAGTCTACATGGGTTGTATAGCCTTCCCATGACCTACCGCAAGTCATCAGATGGGGAGAGGGATTGAGACTATTGATCTGATGGAAAACTCTACTAGCTCCTCCAATGTAATGCAGAAGATTCTGTATTTTATTAAATTCTTATTTCATCATTAAGATATCTTTAATCACAACAGAAATCAGTGCTCTCTCATCTCCAAATCCTGCTGCTATAATCAGGCAAGTACTGCAGTTATAGTAAGAAAGAGGAAACTTGGATTAATCTTGACATTTCATTGTGTATAGCATCAAACTTCCAAGGAACTCTGTTTTCAGATGTAAAGCTAAAGCTTTCATTTGTCTTGCACCTTTTATAACTAGCATGTTTGCCACCCTGATCTTGGGTTGCAGGAACTAGTATTAGAAGTGATAACTAGGCATCATGGCCTAAGGAACACTCATAAATCAAGCTAGGAGAGGTAGGATGGGGGTGGGGGAACTATATAGTCACTATACCATGCTACTCCAATATACCACATTGATCTATAAATTCTGATTAACTACTATAGTGCACTGCTTAATTGGAAAACACTACTTAATCAAGATGCCTCCCAGGGAACCAATTTCCACCTAATGATATTTGATGGCAAGGACAGCTGTTTAATTGGGATGGTAATTCCACATAATTAGAACACCTTCAGGTAACTGCATGGTGCTTAGGTTGGCATGCGTGCCTGTGTTGCATTGGGCCTTATCTGCTCTGCAGATAAAGGATGGGCTCCTAGTTGATTTCAGACTCTGGATTGTATCCATCAGCCTTTCAAGATAATCTGATCAGGTTTCATAGCACAGATATTAGACATAATGAAAAGTGTTACACTTGAGCAATGCGTAACAATGTATTGGTTTACTGCAGCTGCCACTTCCTTTCTATAGCAATCTCCACTGCTGTCAAGACTCCTCCTCCTGTTCCAGCAAGATGACTCCATCTTTCCTATTTGTCACTAAGATTCCGGCTGAAGATGCTTTGAGAAAGTCTGGTGCTTTGAGACTGTCCATAGTTCGATATTAACGGGGGTTTTTGGGACGGGGTGGGTAGGTTGGTCACTATGTTGTGGCAGTATCTTGCACATCATTATTCACATGGCAGCAATAGTACCTTATATAATCCAGTGATGTTCACTTATTTTGTTTTTGGCTAAAAGTATGCAGAGTGGCCAAATAAAACATTTGTGAAAGTTGTATAGACTTTGATAAAGGTTCTGAAACAAAAAAAGGGGGAAAGGCTGGGACGATTCTAATATTCTGCACATTTTTGGCTCCACTCCCAAGGAGCTTATTTACTCTCTTTTTCCAATTTTTCTCTTTGTATAACGTTAGTTTCACAAAGATAGGGAGTAACAATGAACAAATCTCTTTTTGTTACAATTTTGTCAGGATATTTTGGTTTCACCTTTGTTTGAATTGCATCAAGGAACTCATTTTCAAATATCAGGAACAACAGATCTGCATATAATCACATAATATGCATGTAATATTAGGAACAATGGATCTGCATATATGCATGTAAAAAGATATCACCATTTTTCAGGCAATATATTTTTAAACATATGGCTGCTCTTGAAATTCGTATTGATAGTAATGCAGCCCACAGCAAAGATGGAAATGTTGCAGAATTAGGTCTACTTTCTTTTTGGATGATATGGAGGATTCTGCATGGGATCCCACTGTTCCCTTGTTAAAACAGATGTGGCCTGAACTTTTCGAAAAAGAAGAGGATTTTAAAAAATTTCTTAAAATTTAAAATACAAAAGAAAAGTCTATACTGGTGTTGGTCAGAGAAACCTGATGAGGAACTTGAAATGGAGCCTAGCCTACAAGATGGATGCAGGACTATCATTGGAGCCATCAGTACATAAAAAGGCATAGTGGTTTGTAGTCAAAAGCTAAAGCAACGCATATTACATAATGCTCATGTGATCAAAGCAGAAAGCCCATATTAAGCCTGCAATACAAGACTTCACTCAGCCTAGTGGCACTGTGACTACAAGGTAGCATTTGCCAAGCCACATAAACGCCTGTATGGAAAGATTATTTCAGTAGTAGTCATGCCAACCTAAAAAAGCAGCACAACAAACATTAACAAATGAAAAAATAGGTATATGCCTCTTCAGAGAAAAAATGGAAAACATTTCTGAAGTTACAGTTGTGGTGTTGAAAAAGAACAAATTAAAACATGGGAACTTCCAACTTACTTCTTAGTTCTAGTTCTCTAACTGGGTTCTGTAGAAGCACACAACTTATGTATGATACATTTACAGGATATATTAATCATGCACCAATACATACACATTTTTTCAGTAGTGAGATGAACTGGGACTGTATGAGAAAGGTTATTGTTATTTGCTCACACAATGAGACTTGTTCCTGAGTAGACCTGCCTAGAAATTATGTCTTATTCAGGAAGCCCTACTTCAAAAAGTACATTTGTCATGAATTCCCTTTTTGGTATCCTTTTCCTCCCTTCTTTAGCCCATATGCAATATGAAGAATATTGGTTGCTGTCTTAACTATTGGAATATATATCTATTAAATATTTTGAGCATTCTAAAGAGCTTTAAAATGGCAGATTTTAAAACCAAGCTATTATGATAACCAGGACTATACCATATAACTGAGGAAAGATACAGGAACAAAAACAGTTCTGATGCAAGTTGACACACAGGTTTCCTGTTAGTTCCAGCAATGTTTTATTTTGGTATGTGCCCTGGAGTTTCGATATACAGGCCAGATTTTTTTTTCTTTAAAAAAAAAAACCCAACAGCATGGATTTATACAGGTAATGAAATTTTAACTTTTTGATTTGTTTTTTTTCTCTTTAAAAAAGCACTCCTTAACAAAGCATCTTCTTTCATACAAAATAACCCTTGAGTCGTCTTTTCAGTTGGTGTGTTTTGTTAAGCTGCTTTGTCCCTTCTTTGGGGATTGGTGGTGGTTTAACAGGGCTGTTTCCAAAGCCAGTTCCCCTTCACCCCAAAGTTAAAAATTCCACTTTGACAGCTAATGCTCTGCGAACACTTTATTACACAAGTTACATTCAGCTTCTGAAAATAGTGTTCTAACAGTGTAGCCATCTAAAAATAAGACATCCTGGAAACACACAAAGTCTGAGCAAGAAGGAGGAGGAGGAAAAAAAGCCCAATTATAAATAGAGACTTTTAAAATCTTTCCCTTAAAGTAACAGAATACTAGTGATTTTCTTAAAAAATAGGGGATTTAGTGGCTCTGCTTCATGTGGCACTGTATCCTCTCTGTTCTGTGATAGATTAAGGGCATCGAAAGTGAAAAGGCACCAAAGAAAAACTGAAAACCAAAAGTATTTTTAAAGCTGAGGCTGGGACTTATTTACAAATATAGAGAAGGTCCCTAACTGAAATGAGCAAATATTACTATTTTAAAAGCATTACTGCAATTAAAGTGGGATTGCCCTGCTTTATTAAAAGGTTCACATAAAACAATGGCACTGATATGAAATGCTCACACTCCAAAACTGAACTGAAGCAAAAGGGGAGGGAAGGGAAAAACAGAAACAAAAATAAAACTGTGTACAGCCTCACAAAGGACTAGTACAGTTTACAATTAAATACGTAAAATCTTAAAACGTGCTAAATCTGGCAATCTTTGTAGACTCAGACAGTGTAGCAATCAAAGGCCAGTTTCAGGAAGAAGATGAGGGTATCGCTGGAGGCTGAGGAATGGGATCTTCCTCTTCTGAATCTGTGGCATCCTCTTCTTTTTCCTGATCGCTCCCTTCGGTACTAAGTCTGTCAAACCCTTTTCGACTGTAGCCTGCACGGCTGGCAAAGAAATTCCCAAGATTGAGGCCTCCGCTTCCTTTTCCTGCAATGGAAATCAACTTTAGGATGTGGTTCATGTTGTTACCATGCAGACATGTTAGTTTCTACACATTATTATTCTGGTTATTCAGGTTTCAACTTTGTTAGCTTAACAACTCTTTCTTGGAGAGCCTGCTGTGGTCAACATCAAGGAACACCATAAAAGAAATAGAACTGTCCTCTGATCTCCCAACCAAAGGCAACCTATCCCTTCTTCCTCTTTTACTTCCTGTCAAGTGAGACACGATACAGGCACAAAGCAGGGTTTGGGCTTCAAGGTATAACAGGCTCTGCTTTCTTCTCATTCTTCCCTCTAACCCTTTGCCCCTCTTTATTTAAAATTAGCTCAGGGATATTTTGAATTTAGGTTGACAGAAACCACTGCAGCCAATATTTTTCTTCATTTTTAGATAAAAGGCAACTGAGTAAGAGAGATCAATTTCTAGTCCTTTCTTTTCTTTGTCTGGGTTCTCCATCATACTCTAAGAAATCAGTTTCCAAAGGCTTTCTCTGGTATATAAGTAGATGACTCACCAACATCATTATAGCTTTCTTATCAGGAGCAACTGCTGGATTCATTACCAGAGGAAAAACAATGCATACAAGAGAGCGTGCAAGGGAAGTATCATTTAACTTTTAGATCTTTTCCTTTACTCACCTCTAAATCTGCCCAGAATTCTACCTGAGCTTGAATCAAACTTATGATCAGCATCAGCTATAAGAATGAGACATATATATAAATTAGGAGCAAGAATTCTGAAGTGAAATTACATGAAGCAAAACATGGAAGACAGAGAGAGAAAAAAAAAACTATATAGTTGAGTATTACCATTAGGTCTGTGACTTACAAATGATTCTATTCTGCCACTGATTCCTTGAAGTGTATTTTACTTATCAAGCTAAATTTAAACAACAGATTTTCTGATGAACAGATTTTTTTTTCTGGTGCCCCTGAAAAATATCAAAGTCAACTAAGAAGTTGAAACAATATATATTGTTTTAATTTCCTTTTATAATAGACACCCCATAATTCATATTCATCTTTGTCTCTCTCACACACACACTTTCAAACTTAACAAAATAAAGCTGGTTTTCATAACATGGTATTCATTCTACTATTAATAAGCTTTCATACTACTTCAGATACTTAAATATTTCTTTCTGAAAAATCTCACACTTGGAGAGAAAACTGCATATAGCATTTATGAATTCAAGCTCTTCTTAAGGTATATCTTGGTTACAGAATGTTTCTTGCATAAAGTATGACTTTCCTCATAAAAATTACACTAACAGTACTACTGAAAGGATTTTGTATGTTCAGGGGCGGGGAGGGGGCGGTAATCATTTTCAAGCCAAGGGTTATATATGTACATTATAGATGTTTGGGAGGAGAAATACACTCAAAAAATTGGGCATAAAGAAGACAAAGGGTGTGTTTTTGGTACTGATCATCCACCCAATTCTGAAATTTAAAGCTTCAAAAGAAACACTGACAGGTTACATTTGGAAATAAACTGTGATGCTGAATTTTGACATCAATTAATGGGGCTGTGGGGCCTACAGGAGAACACGGGAAGAAAAGGGATTTGGGACCCTAATAAAGGCAATGAGAGGAGAGGGTTAGGCATCTTATTTGCTTTCATCCCTTTATTTATTTATTTTATTATTATTAAATTTATATACCGCCCATCTCCCCCAAAGGATGACTAAAGGTGGCTCACAATTAAAATCAAACATAAAAACAGTAAAAAAAAAATCCACATTAAATTAGCTAAAAAAGATCATACTAGATAAAAAGACTATATACTGTACATAAGACAACTATAAAATTCAAGATGATGCGGGGGGCAGAATCAATTACCCCATGAGCCAATTCCAACAATGTGAGCCCCCATCAGGCCCCTAGGCCAAGATTTCACATTCTTCCTGAAGGCCATGAGAGTGGGGGCACACCACACGTTGGGTGATAAGTTGTTCCACAGAGCGGGGGCCACGGCAGAAAAGGCCCTCTTCCTAGACCCTGTTGAAATTCCTTGACTGGTGTGGTCCACAACATGCCCCTTCTGCCAGATCGAGTGGGGCAGGCTGATATAACGGGAGTGAGACAGCTCTTAAGATAATCTGGTCCTGTGCCATGAAGGGCTTAAAGGAATTGGACCCAGAAGAACCAATGCAGCTCGCATAACAGAGGTGTTAGATGTGCCTCCCTGGGGGCATTCAAAACTGTGTTGCTGCATTTTGTGCCAGCTGTAGCTTCCAGATACTCTTCAAGGGAAGCCCCATGTACAGCATAATGCAGTAATCCAACTGGGAGGTGACCAGGGCATGAGTGACTGTGTGGAGAGCTTCCCAATCCAGGAAGGGGGTGTAACTGGTACACAATACGAAGTTGCGAAAAGGCCCTCCTAGCAACAACTGCTACCTGCTCTTCAAACAGGAGTTGTGAGTCTAGGATGACCCCCAGATTATGTACCAGTTCTGTTTGGGGTAGTGCAACCCCATCAAGATCAAAGATGATAAACTCCTAGATCTTGAGGCTCCCTGTACCCACAGCCACTCTGTCTTACCAAGGTTCAGTTGAAGCCTGTTGTCCCCATCCAGACCCCTACTGTAATGGAAGGCATAGGCGAGGAACACATTGGTATGAGAGATCAAGGCTATCAGGAGGGAGAGGGTGCATTCCAGAGGAAGGGGCAAGGTAAGCATTTTCTCAGCCCACAGCAGGACCATGAGAAGCAGCAGCTGAGGCTAGCCCCTCCCTAGACACTCACAGGGTATATCTGCTAGTAGCTTTAGGATAGGTTTAGTCTGACGAGATTCTGTCTACAGTGTGTAAGCAATAAAGGAACTACACTGGACTATACTGTTTCGTTGTTCTTGGGTTGAACCTGACACCTACAGCCTCCAGGTACCATGAGAGGGTAGCCACAGCATCACTTAGGTCACCTGGGATGGAGATATATAATTGAGTATCATCAGCATACTGATGATATCTCATCCCATGGTGCCCGATGATCTCACCCAATGGTTTCATGTAGATGTTAAATAGGAACAGTGAGAGCACCAAACCCTGAGGCATCCCACAAAGTAGGGGCTGCGGGTTGGACCTCTCGCCCCCTATCAACACCAATTGGGATTGGCCTTCGAAAAAAGAGCTGAACCAGTACAGAATTGTGCCCCAGCCCCAATTCCTGCAGCTGACCCAAAAGGATACCACAGTCAATGGTATCGAAAGCCACCGAGAGGTCAAGAAGAGCAAGGATGGCCACACTACCCCCATCCCGCTCTTGCCAGAGATCATCCAAAAGTGTGACCAATGCTGTTTCTGTCCCATAACCGGGACTGAATCCTGACTGATAGGGATCCAGATAATCCATTTCCTCCAGGATCCTCTGAAGCTGTCACGTGACCACCTTTTCCACCACCTTTTCTAAAGAGGGAAGGTGGGAAACTGGCAAAAATTGTCCAGAAGGGTAGGATCTAGCAATGGTTTCTTGAGGAAGCGGCAGACCAGGGCCTCCTTAAAAGGCTTCAGGAACACCCCCTCCTGCAAGGATGAATTGACCACCACCCGCACTCACCCCAATGTCACCTCCCTGAAGCTGTCTTTCCTTGAAGAACTGGTATGAAGTTTCAAGAGGCATTTGTCCACAAATGCAATTCTTTTCTGAGAATGGTCATTTAATAATTGCATTGACAATTATAGAACTGGCTAGGGAACAGGTTTTAACAGTTTGCTTTTACCTTTGATGCTGCTGTGTGTATTTTTACAGCACACAAATTAACTGCTGCCATAATTTTTGGAGCATTGCAAGCACTATCTTACAAGAGGTTAAAAACAGAAAGTAGAGCTATTTGGCAGACACAGAATCAATGTCAGAACAGGTTCTACAGAATACAGTGGAAACACCCAAAGGAGCTGGGCGTTTCCACCGTGTCTTGTTTAGGGAAACCTAAACAAAACAGCAAGACCTCTTTAACGATCCTTTTTATGCATGTAGACATACATATTCCCTTTCAGGATAAGCAGAACTATAAACTCAAAGTAATATCTCATCCCTGATACTACAAGAATATTCATCCTTATTGCAAGCTGAACGGAACATAACAAAAATGTTAAAATATGTACTGATTTGACAAGACAAAGATATATATGGTGATGTGCATTTTTGAAGTCAGTTCCATTACCAGAAATTGACTATGATACAGCAGTGGGAAATAAGCATTCTCAGTTTTACTATGTTATTTCCAGAAAGGCTTTGATATCAAAAACTGGTTGTTACCAGGTTAAACACAGACTAATTACCTCCATAGATTCTTGTCTTTCTCCACCAAATAAATATGGCAATTGTCAAGAGGACAACTATTGGAATAGTTAGAAGTGTTGTAATAAGAACAAAAGAAACGGAACTGCTAGCCTGCTGGACAACTTGATGCCTTTCTTCTTTCTTTAACAATTCTTTTGATGTGGGTTTCTTTATCAGTGTGCCTTCTATAATTGCCTCTGCTTTTTGACAGGAAAGAAGAGATTTAACACACTTTTGATCCACGCAGAATCTACAGCAATATAATAGTTCACTGCAGAACATATACTGCCACTTTTAAATACCAACTTTAAGATACTTGTGCTGCAAGGTTGTCTGCCACCCCCTCACCCAAAAACAAAACAAAGCAACACAACACAACCCTTGAAGAGGACAAATATGATAACTTCCTAATAGAAAATCAGAATTAATGCCAGTGCAATCAATTGTTTGCAATTCATCTCATGTGCATCATGTAATTGCTGGAAATTTCTGTAATTGTTTTCGGTAGATACAGTACATGATGGATTTATAACCAAGGCTCACTAAACAGGGAGAAATTTATTTCTCAAAATGCATTCTTTGTGCGCAAAATGAAACCCTGCTTATTTATCCTCACAATCCCCTCATCAATCCTGCACGTAGAATGAGCTCTATAGTGCTCAGTAAGTTCATTGTGACAAGCAAGAATCCCACTGACAGTCTTCAATTTGGTGTGATAACTCTGCTGTACACTGGAGGTGGCTTTTGCTGTCATAGCAGGTATGGTTTGCTATGTTTGATCCTGTAGTATGTTTGTGGCCAGTCCAAAAGGACCAAAACTGATGGAAGAGAAAGAGGATGAATATTCACCCACCCTATTCTATTCAAATTTTGTTTTTAAGACCAATTGACCTGTTATTACTTTATATTGGATCCTTTCCAATGACAAAATCACTTTTTTGCAGCTATTTTTCAAAGTACTGTAAATTATATGTAACACAAATTTCAGAAGGATCTTAGAAATAAAAGGATTATTCTCTTAATATTCCTCCTCCTTATAATTCATCCTACTCCATTCTGTCACTGTCACAAGTTCTGCACTAGGAACACTTAGTTCCTATCAGTAGCTGGAACTTATTGCCTAAAAGAAGCTGATCATACTATTTAACATTTAAGAATAACCTTTTTATTTGTGTCAAGTTATATCCTTTTAATTCATGTGGACAAGTATTTTCCAGACAACCATCTATATAATCATAGATCTGTCATTTTGCAAGAATAATCTAGTCTAATCCTTACCAGTGTGCGGAGAAGCCAATTAAACCATCCATGGGAGGTAGCTATACAGACTCTTCAAAAATCTCCAGGAATGGAGAACGCACAACCTCCAAAGCTCTGCTATTTCACTTCGTACAGATCTTACCATTAGGAAGTTTTTGGTATACTTAAATGAAATCTAGGTAGCTGCTATTTATACCCATTATTTCTGCCCCTAGTTTCTGTAGCCATGGAAAATAGTTATTGACTATCTTTCCTGTAACTTCCTTTTATGTACCCAAACCATCACCTTCCTTTGACCCTAAATGGCAGAAAAGAAGACTAACCTTTTATTTCTTGTATTTCAATCCCAGCCTTTTTAACAGACCGATGTTCCATTTCTGAAACACAGAAATAGCTTTTGAGGCACTGTGATGTCTTTGATTCATTGAACCAGTAACGGTCACCAGTTGTGATGCAAAATTGATGTTGCAAGTATACAAATGCACAGCAACTCAGAAGAATAGCAGGGGTTATTCTCTAAGTAGTATACAGTAAGTAGTACATTTCTTTAAAAAAAAAAAAAACCGAAAGGTTTCTACCCAGGAAATCTGCAATATAAGCCCAAAATATCAGCACAAAACATTTATACTTTGGCATGTAATAGGTTAGCAGGTGATTTATAACAATCACAAAAATTGTGATCTAGGAATCCTTTTAGTCCATTCATTCTTACCTAATTCTGGTTTTAAATTTCTTTACTTTGTTGTTTTATTATGCTTTACAAATAGAAAATAGAAAAAAAAAAAGAATCTACAACAGAATTATCTCTTGATGGCTTTAAGCACAGAGACTGATTGGAGACACTTTCAGCCAAGAACAAGTGCCAACTTCAATGACCAAGCGACAGCAAATATTCCAGTGGGAACAACTTATTTAGGTTAACAAGATGTGAAAATGGCACAGGAAAATGAAAATGAAACCATTTGCACAGTGGAGTGACTATGATTCTCGGCTGGCTTGTCAATGGACACTGTATGCCAGATGCTAAGGAACAACCTGGGATGAAGAGATCTCTTTAACAAGATAATAAAGCCAGGCACAGCAACACAGCATTTAATATTGCAAATCATCTTGGTGAATCTCTAAAAGAGCAAAAGTGACAATCCCCGTTGGTCTTGTTTGGATCTGATTACAAGTTTATTCACCCTTACTCAGTCTAGCTCTGATGGTTCAAAACATTACTTTTCTTCATCAACATTCACTGAAAAGACTATAGCTGGGTGTCAACCAGATTATAATTCACAGTAGTTTCATAGGGCTGCTGAGAAACATAGGGAACAAAAAATTATTGGATATTTAAGACTACCTACCTCCAAAAAGTCTCTGGACAGCTTATAATATTTCAAATACATAATTTAAAATTACAGTTAAAAACATGACTGCATGGCCAAAACAACAATAACTTTAAAAAAAAATCCAATAGGGACTTCAGAAGCACCTTAAGCCTGGGAAAATAGAGTTTTAGGAGCCTGTAAATACAACTGCCTAGAGGCAGAGCCCTAATCCCCTGGCATCACCTTTAGAATTTGGAAATCCAAGCATGAACCAACCCAGAATGGTATTATGGGTCATGGTACCAAAAGTTGAGCCCACAGCAGGTTCTGAGCAGCACAAATCAAGAGATCTCCATGAGCAATATGTGGGCAGTACTGAGTGCCAGTGGCATTATTAAGAGACTTTTCTTTTGAAGTTGAGAAACTGCTGCATGGAGCTGAGAAGCCAGCATAAGCCACTTGATGTAAGGGGGGTGACTCTCCATTAACAGCCAACCAATTTTTTTTAGGAGAAGGAGGTGGCCAGCTGCCACAAGAAACCCCACGGAGCAACAGTGTGGGCAGTTACAGGAGCATTAGATTGGCACATGTTATACCTCTGCTCTGTGAGCTACATTGGCTTGTTTCTGGGTTCATTTCAAGGTGCTGATAGTGACCTCTAAAGCCCTACATGGCATGGGTGGGGTTATTTGAGGGACCGCCACATCTACCCATCCCATCAGGAAGGGCACGGTGCGGGTCCTGTCCACAAAGGAATGTCACCTGACAGGACCTGGGAGGAGAGCCTTTTCTGTTGTGGCACGTGCCATTTGGAATATCATTTCCCCTGAGGTCAGATTGGCTCTGACCTTGCTGGCTTTCCAGAAGGGCCTGAAGCCATGGCTTTGCCATCTTGCCTAGTGATCTGGTAACATGGGTATGGAGCCTGAAAAGTGGCTATACTGTGAAAGAAATTAAGCGTGCTCTTCCACAGATTATGTTTCTTTTTAATGGCTTTTATTGTTTTTAATATATTTTAATGTTCTTTGTTTTTTTGGTATTGTTTTGTGTTTTTAACTTTGTATTCCACTCAGTCACATATATGAGATGGGTGGCTGTATCAATTTACTAAATAAACTAACAAAGTCAAAATAAAAATCAGGGATATGCAAAACCCTTTACACATATACTGAAATCTGGCCTCTAAAAACATGGATAATGAAACTATGAATGAGGGCCACCTGTAAATATAATGTCTAAAATGCTTACAAGTATTTAAATAAAACTAATTTCCAAATTAAGTTCCAAATATAGTTAAAATTAACATTTTAACTATAGTAACTGCATGGTTAGGTTTTTTTCTTCTACTCAAATATTTTTAATACTTTTGGCTCTGAGAAAAAAAAATCCAAGATATTATACAGAGTGTAACATCAATTTGTGAATACTTAAAATAGTTAAATTTCTGAACATAGTAAATATAATATCAATCAATACCAGGCACTGAGAAATATTCTGATTAACGTTGGGAGGAAAATCCATATAAGTGATTAGAACTATCCAAATTAGATTGTTCCCTTAGACTGAACTGGAAGCACAGAAATCCTTTGTCCTCCTTATTAATATATCAAATGGCGTTATAACCGATTTTCAAAAAACCTTAGTCCACATATTAAGATGGTATGTACAGAAGTATTAAGTATTAAGAATATCATCTTTTAAAATGGAAATATTAATGCTTTTAATGGTCTAAGGCAAAAATATCTTACTTTCTGTGGATGTGAATTTCCACACTGTGTTGGCATGAGCATCTCCAACATATACTGTTCTGCCTTCTGAAGCAACAATGTCATGTGGCATCTCAAAATTCTGTGAAAGTAAATAGTCAACATATTAAAATAGGGAAGAAACTGGAAATTATTTATTCAGTACCTTGAGATGTAGAATTACAGGCATCTGACAAGTAGTGTTTGAACTTTAACATGTGTGCAAATATGGAGAAAGTCTAACAACATTTATGGAGTAGAAGAAACCTCTGCATACACCAGCAGTGCTCCAATTCCCTTGGCAATGTGGCATGACTTCCCTTGGCATGATGAGGGTTGGGGAGTTTGTTTTGGCGGGGGGGGGGGGGGGTGGG